CAGGGGGGGCTCTGCTCTGCTCTGCTGTGCCTGCCCCCCTTCCTCCTCCTTGACCTCGGCGTTCATACCCGTGTCCTTCTTGTAACTCCTCCTCACAAGCCCAAACCCCCTCCCAGGTTCCCCTTCTTAAATACATTCTCGCAGAGGCACAACCACCATTGTTGATTGGCTCAGCCCTGGCCAGAGGTGGGTCTGACTTGGAGCCGGGGCAGCTTTGAGAAGCTACTCACAGGCTGTAGCCACCTCCCTTGCTACCAAAAACCTCACACACAAACCCAGCACACACAGACAAGCAGAGCAGGGGTGACCTGAAGGACTCAGTCTTGCTGGGCATGGCCCATCCGACAGCTCGGAGCACAGCAGATCACCTCGTCATCTGGGGACACCAGGAACGGGTGGCATTAGGAACATATTAACTGGGTGTTCAGGGCCCCGCCAAGGGGAGTGTGTGGGCCTCAGTTAACAGGCACAGCCGTATTACTGAGTGGGGCATTACCAGTTGCCACAATGCACACTGGCACGCTGTGAAGAGGACGGTGACACGAGCACCTTGACATCATCCACTGCAGTTGCTCATGATGGCCACGGACCTTCCACAGGGTTCCCCAAGGCCTTGTAGAGAGTTAGAGACATACCCAGAGCTGCCATCGCCACAGCGTGCAGGGATGAACACCCTTCCCCTGGAGGGTGGGAAACCTCTGCCGGGTGACTCAGAGGCTGTGTCTAATACGGGGTGCTTGAGATGGTGCTGCAGATGCCAGGGTCCAGCAGACTTGGATAGACCTGTCCCCTCCAGCTGGCTTCCCACAGGTGTGAGGCAGGGCTATCAGGTTTCGGAGGTTCCCATACCCCTATTTCTTTTCTCCAGAGGAGGCGGAGTAGGTGTATTAAAAGCTTCAGAAAGGGTCCTTGCATCCCAAAATTCATAAAATCATAGAATCATAGAACATCACGTTGGAAGCGACCTCAAGGATCATCTATTCCAGCCTTTCTGGCAAAGGCCTGGTCTAGACAAGACGGCCCAGCACCATGTTCAGCTGAATCTTAAAAGTGTCCAATGTTGGGGAATTCACCAATTCCCTGGGGAGATTATTCCAGAGGCTGATTGTTCTCATGGTGAAACATTTTCCTCTTGTGTCCTATCAGAACGTCCCCAAGAATAACTTGTACACATCACCCCTCATCTTGTCCATGGGACTCCTTGTAAAAAGGGAGTCTCCGTCTTCTTTGCAGCCACCCTTTAAATACTGGAACACAGTGATAAGGTCTCCCCTAAGCCTTCTCTGCTCAAGGCTGAACAAACCCAGTTCTCTCAGCCTTTCCTCACATGGCTGCCCAGTTGCTTGATCATCTTTGTGGCCCTTCTCTGGGCGCTCTGCAGCCTGGCCACAGTTTTTGTGTAGAGCAGGTACCAGCTCAGGGTCCACGGCTGCAAACCCTGGCTCGGGCCTTTGCTCTGAGGCTTTGCTCTCGAGGGGGCTGGAGGAGGAGACCAGGCTTGTGAAGTACATAACGCCATCCGCAGAGCGTGAGCGCGGTCCAGGCCTGTCCCCTCCCCAGCACGGATGGCGAGATGACTTCCCATCTGACAGAGGGACCCTCTCTACCCTTTATGGGGGGGTCGAGAGTCCAAAATCCATCACATCTCACCTCCCGGTGTCTTCCCCAGCCAGCAGATGTGCATCTCTTGGGCTGTGCACCACGAGGCAGGCTTTGGCTGTCCTTTCCCCTTCGCTTGCTGCAGCCTCTCCAGCTACCCCCAGCTGCCCCCAGCAGCACCCAGCTGCCCCCAGAAGCACCCAGCAGCACCCAGCAGCACCCAGCTGCCCCCAGCTGCCCCCAGCAGCACCCAGCAGCACCCAGCAGCACCCAGCAGCACCCAGCTGCCCCCAGCAGCACCCAGCAGCACCCAGCAGCACCCAGCTACCCCCAGCAGCACCCAGGGGATGCAGGAGGCCAAGAGTTTTCACCCGCGGGACTCGACGCAGGGCCGGAGGCTGAGCGGTGCCCGGCGCTGGCAGTGCCGTGGGTCCCCACGCCATCTAGTGTTAACCAGCAGCGGGACGTGGGAGTGGGAAAGGCTGCGAGACTCCCCCCTCCGCAGCTCTCCCAGCTTCCCAAGCCAGGTCAGGGGGCAATCTCTAACTGGGAATTTTACCCGCTCTGGTTTTATTTCCAAAAAGACTTCAGCGCCTGCTTGGCTTCACATGGGGTACTCTGCACATGAGGGTGAGATTTAAACATGACAGGGTCTCACGTGAGTGGGCACGTGGGAATGGTCACACCAGAGGATTAAGTCAACCAGTATCCTGTGTCAGTGGGTTGGGAGCAAAGGTGCCAAAAAGAGTGACCAAAACCAATCAAGGCATCAAAAATGCTGTTAAGAGCTTGGAACAAAACCAGTAGTATTCACAGGATAATGTCAGGGCGATCAAAAGCTTCAAAGAGAGCGAGGTTCACAAGCTGTCCAATTCCTGCCTGGACCAACCACAGCTCTCACGGCTGGTCGTGTAGAATTATTTTTCAGTAAACATAAAGAGATGAAGGTATTTTTTTATTTTTTTAACTTCAGACAAACAGGCTGCTGGCAGAGGTAATAAGAACAAATCTAGACTATTCCAGAAAGTGATTTTGTTTTATAATTAAAGCAGCTATTTGTAAAGGAGCAGTTAAAGGAAATTCAGAGAAAGACTAAAAAGAAGGAAACTGGTACTTTAAGATATTAACTGCTGGGAGCACACAGACATGGTTTTTGCCCAGGATCCGGGAGATGCATTGCTGAGCCATCCATTAGCATGTTGATCATCCTGGGAATAATTAATTTTTATTCAGAAACTCACTGTTAAAATAGGAGGAAGGCCAGAGCTGGGCTGAATTTGATAGATCATACGAAAGCAGAGATGGGACTGTAGTGACACGTGTCAGGGAGCCGGGGTATCTGAGACAACAGAAGGATGGCAAGAGGCTCGTAGTCACAGACAACAGTCTCCTCTTCCAGCCAACTCTTTTTTTTTTTGTCTGGAGATGTATTCCATTTTCAAGAGAAGTCAAACCTGGAATAGGGCTGCCACCCTTCTGGCTGCGATTGCTACAGAGCGGAGGCTGTTTGCAGAAAGCACACATGACAGCTGACATTTCCAGGAAGGCACTAGACTGACCCAGAGGCGTGCAGAGGGAATCCCACAGGTTGGGGACACATACAAACCTTTGCAGAGCAAAGCAGCTCTGCATCCCAGAAGCAACAGTACGTATGCCAGAAGTTTTGGGATCGCTGCTTGTGTGATTTACAGCCAGTTCTCATGAGCTGTGGCTGTGCAGGACTTCTTGGCATCCAGAAGCTTAGTCAGATGTCCAGGAATTCTAGACAAATGCAGAAAACTCTCCAAATATGCCTGGTTAAAATTCCTGTCAGGAAAATAAAAGGAATGTTTTAAAAACATAAATGTCTGATAGCCTCTATCAGGCAGTTTTCACAGGAGCATGGGGTGGTCTTATCAGCTGTGGGGGAAAACAGCATGGCCTCCTGCCCTGTTATCACCTTGCAGATAGGGAAGACGCTCACAAAACCGTAAGCTGAACTGCTAACGTGGCAGTGCCCATCACTCTGTGCAAGAGCTAAGGCTCATGTCAGCCTGGCGTGCAGCCAGAAGTAATTAAATTCTTGAAGCAGTAGATGCACAGTTAAGGAACTCCAGGCCTGGTCCAGCATGGACCCAGCATGATTGTCATCATGAATAACCGATCCCGCCGGGAAGAATACAATATAAAGCACGGGAAGGCGATAGCTGGACACACTGGACGTGACCCAGCTCACACCCCATCTCTTGCAGGCACCAGGAGCATGTGCTGAGAGGTCCCAGCCTCCAGCAACCTGCAGCCAAAGGCCCTTCCCAACAAAGGACATCAGTTTCTATTTATGACTTGATTAATTTACTGCCCTTAATTTGTCCCATTGTTTTTAAACCCACCTCAACAGCTAGCATCCTTACTGCCCTGCTGTCAGGAGCTCCATACTAAACCGCATGTTGTGTGAAGCCCTTTCCCTTGTTGCTCTTCTCTGAACCATTTCTATACCAGTAATTCCTAACTCATTTTGTGATTTTAGACTGTTAATGAACCATGATCTGGCATTTCTATGAATATTTAATAGCCCTTAATGTAGCCCCTAACTCTGTTCATTAGAATGGTTCCTAATAACCTGCATGCTGGGGCTATCGGATAGATACACTGCACTGTAGTTCCTGGGGTTTTCCTTGGAACTCTGTCGAAAACTGCTGGAGTTTTTTTGAGGCTAATGAGCAAATGCCATCTGGTCTGGGGGATTTGTCACTGATCATTTAGCAGTGTGCTCGTTCTGCGATCCCTCTAACGAACAATTTGAGCCAAATGCTCTGTTTGGCAGCTTGATACGACGCGGTAACCTGCAGAAGGGCAGCCCCTCCGCCCAGAGTGAGCACCGCGCTCAGCCGCGGGCGGGGGAAGGCGCCGGGCCGGGCACTCCCGCCACGAGAGGGGGCTCGGGGAAGGCGCAGCGAAGCCAACCTCAACATCCCATCCGAAAACGTTCACGTTGGGTTTGGCTATGACAGGTAGAGGTGGAAGGCGAGCAGTCCGGTGCCCCGCTGGGCCGCGCAGCCCCCTCAGGTGCTGCCGCCTGGGGACGGCCGGGCTCCGGGTTTAACTACGGGGAAAGCTCAGCATCCTCCTGGCTGCCCCACCGGCGACTGCGTGGGCAGGAGGGGCCGGCAAGACCCGCCAGCTCCGGCCTGCTCTCCCTGACAGACGGGGCTCTTCCCTGACAGCCATTTCGTCCCCACACAGGCACCGCGGGCCACCCCCGGGCAGGGCGCTGCCATGGCGGCCGGGCGGGAAGGCGGGGGGGGGGGGGGGAGGGAAGGGGCGGTGGCTCCGCGCGCGGGGGCCGCTGGGAGCTGTAGTCCGGGTCGCGCCCAGGTGCGGCGGCCGCGGGGGCCGCCGGGAGCTGTGTCCGCCCGGCGGGCAGGTGCGGCACAGCCCGCGGGAACTACATGTCCCGGGATGCCGCGGGGCGCGGGCGGCGCGGGCGCGGCGGCGGCGGCGGCGGCGGCGGCGGGGGCGTAGCGAAGATGGCGGCGGGGGCGCTGCGCCCCGCTCCCGGCTGAGGCGCGGCGCGCTCCTTGCGCCTCAGTGCGGCGGCGGCGATGTCGGAGCCGGAGCACCTGGGCGGGAAGCGGGCCGAGTCGGCGCGGCTGCGGCGGGCCGAGCAGCTGCGGCGCTGGAAGGGCTCTCTGACGGAGCAGGAGCCGGTGGCGGCGGGGGGCGGCCGCGGCCGGCACGGCGGCGCCGGGGGGTCCCGCGTTCGGTTCGAGGAAGGCGCCGTCTTCCTGGCCGCCTGCTCCAGCGGGGACACGGAGGAGGTGAAGCGCCTGCTGGGCCGCGGCGCCCGCATCAACACCACCAACGTGGACGGGCTGACAGCCCTGCACCAGGTACCGGGAGCCTGGGCTGGGGGGCGGCGGGGAGCTGGGCCCGGGGGGGGGGGGGCGGCCCGGCGCTGCCTTCGCTTCGCCTGCCGCCGGGCGAGGCTTCCCCGCGCCCCCACAGAGGCACCCTCAGCTCGGGGGGGACACGGACACGGACACGGGCCGTGGCTCGCTCTGCCCTCGCCTCCTCAGCCCCGGAGCGGGGGGGGGGACACACACACGAGGATTTCGGACGCTTCCCCTGCTGCTGGCTGAGAGGGAGGGCAGAGCGGTACCTGCAGCACCGGGAGTGGGTTGTTTATAAACAAAGCGATGACAGAAAGCTTTGATCTGAGCCTCGTCCTGCATATTTAGCGTGTGTCTGAAGCAGAGACCTACTTCGGAGGGAAGCGTGGTAGCAGATTCCAGTCGAGCAGCTTGATGTACCGAGTTCTCACAGGGATATTAAGTAGCTTAATTAGCAAAATAAAGCGTTGGGTTGGCAGAGCTTCGAGCCTGGCTAGGTGGCCAATTTACTAGTTTTTGGAAAACTTCTGACTTTGTGCTTTGGGGTCTGCTGAAATAGCAGCAGTTCTAGGAAAAATTCCCGTAGGGGTGTGTGGTTTTTGCAAGGTCAGAATTGTCTCATCAGTTTCTGTGTTTGTGTTATATTGGAGCTGCCTTGAAACTCCCCAGACTGCTTTTTGGCAGCCTTTGCAGAGACCAGAGAGTGCCCGCATCTCAGATAAGCGATGTAGATTCTATTAATATTCATCCAAACGTGCTAAAGATCATACAAAAGTGGTCGCAGAAGTTAGCTGCAGAGTAGTAAAGCCTTGCCTGCCTGGAAACATGTGCTGTGTTTCATCTGTAGCTTTTGCTGTCGTTGTGTAAATGAACAGGAATGTAAGGGAGCATGTGAAATTGCTACCCTTCAATATTGGGAAACCTGTTGCTATCTAAGACTGATTGAGAATTTAGCAGGGCATGTGAAAGTGTCCCAGATTGTTGCATCTGGTCAGTGAAATGAATCTGATTTGAATACGGGCCAGCCTCAGGAAGAAAATTTTCTTAGCTCAAGATCTTGTAGATTGAGCATGTAGTGTAGCGACGGGACTGGGAAAAGAAGCACAGTCCAGGAATAACATCTGGAAATAATGTGTTTGTAAAGAATAATGCTTTAATAGCACAAATAGCAGGACAGTAATTGAGTTGATTAGGCTTTCTTCTTTACTGTGCTGGTATTATTGAACTGTAGCATTTGGGACGCTTAAAAGCTCGGTTCACAAGCTTGCTTGTTCATGGCTGTCAGTGAACAAGGGGCAGTGATACTTACTCATTTTGCTCTGGAGTTCCAAAAATAAGAAGCAAAGAGGATGGGCTCTTATGGACCATCAGGTTGAATAAGAATTCAGTTGGCAGAGCAGTGAACTTTATAATGGCTCAGCTTTTTTTTTTTTTTTTTTTTTGCATAGGAATAGCAAATAAGTTACGCTGCTTAAATAATCTCCAATACAGCATGTATACGTTTATTATCAGATAAATAAGTAATTGTATGGACACTAGTACAAGCCAGTTACTAAAAAGCTGGTTATTGAAAGCATTTGACAAGCAAGAAGGCTGAATCTAAGGTGGATAGAAGTATGGTAGAATTGGGATGACTTCATGAGGGCTTTCCACCCAGCATTGATATGATCTCTTCAGAAGTATTCAGAGATCTTGCTGATGTACATAATGTGATGCTTGGCCAAAAGCATAACGTGAAATGCATTAGACTCATCAAACAATGGGCGACTATCTCTGCAAAGTCAAACTTCTTGAATATATGACAAGCCATATATTGACAAGAAGGCTGCAAATATAATTCTGTATATGTAAAGAATTGTGTCTCAGGAGCTAACTATTGGGTAACGTATTAAACAGTAGCACGTACGACTTGATACTTGGAAGAGCTTTTAGATGAGTGAGTAGTCAAGCAGATGCTAGCTATACAAGCAAGTCTCTTACATGAAGTGTTTCTTCAGAAACTTTACAGGAAGGGAGGTTGACCTTACTTTGAATTTAATGAAACCTTTGTTCCAGCGTCCCATTAATTTATTAACATGTTCTCATCTGCATATCTCGGACAACACTGAGGAGTGGTGACATGTTCTTGCACACCCAAGTGGAACAAACAGTGATTTGTCAGAGGTTTTGTTGTACATGTGTATCTTTACATCTAAAAATCTGTATCAGATGAAAATGTTTATTATCATGGTTGAAGAGGTTGTTCTGAGTTCCTTATCATTGAACATGTACAAAATATATTTGTTTTCATATTATTTGGGGAATGATGCTGACTATGGTAAAGTGTCAGCTGAGGTCCAGTTAGGTTGAGGAGTGCTGGTTGACAAATGAAATGAATGTAGTACATGTAAGGATTTTTAAAATAATTTATTTTAGATAAGAAATTCTTATCTTCTTAAATTCTTAAGGTAGAAACATAACATTATAATGTATAGGGCAGATGGTAGTCACTGTGTACTCTCATTTAATACTTGTAAAACTCAACAGCCATGCAGTGAGGAAGGAAATCATACACACTGAAAAGAGCTTGCTTTGCTGAAGGAAAGATTTTTTTTTTTCTTTGGCTAAATAACTTAAGTGAGACTTGCTCTGTACAAGAAAATGTCTTTTTAGTTAATGGAAGGCTTAACAAAGTCATTTGACTTAATTTGTCAGAGTTGGCATCTGCTTCTAAAAACCTAGGACCAATCTTACAAATTGGGTTAGTTTGTTTGAAGTACAAAGTGGCCCCAAATGTTGTGTGGCATTCAACAAAGGTAAAATTATACTTTCTTTAGTATCTGGGCCACTATGACTAAGAACCATTGTGTACTTGCTGGGTGAGAAGCTGTCTTTGCTATTTATAGCTATGAAGCTGTATTTTGAAAATAACCTTTTAAATGACAAGTGGTGTTTCTGAGCCTCCAGCTTGTGTCGTCCTCCTCTTTGGAGGCATCAGGTGCAGCATAAAGCTACACCCCAGGCCGGTGTCTGTTACCTGTATTGTGGTTTCGGTTATATGTGTATCTTTACCTCAGTGCCTGCAAAATGTTTCTGGATGAACATCAATCCTGTATTTTCAGTGATTAAATTCATTGAATATAGTGTATTTTTGGCAATGGTGTTGTGTTTAATGCAGAACGGAAAGGGAGATATTAGCTAAATGCGCGTGAACACTTAAAAATCATCAGGAGGACCACTACCAGTAGGTGAAACAAACTGTTGGTCGCAGCTGAACTTCTTTTGTGTTTGCAGATGGTGGGAAGTGGGCATGAAATGCTCCCTCTTCCTCCTGAGTGACAGATGGAACTGAAGAGTGAACTTTTACGAAAATTGATTCTTAAGAGAAGAAAGTTCTGATGCTTCTAGTTGGGAAGGCATTTCCAAGTGTAATAGGCAATGCTTGTTTGTCTTTAAGGACTGGTTCACAAACATGACAACTGAAAAGATTGTTTATCCTCTGTCTTCCCTTTGATGATTTACCTGCTGTTTCCCTTTTGCCTATTCTGTGGAGAAGTGAGTTGCTCATGAAATAACTCCCCAGTTCCTGTCATTTACAATACTTTTAAAGTAGCTTGGCACTTGCTTTTGGCTTATTTTCAGGTGCTGAGCACCTGTGGTAATTCAGAACCTGCTTAATGAAAGTCAGATACTTTGCACAGTGGAGGCTGTAACCTCTCTGGCAGTTCCAGTTTAAGTTATTCCTGCCTCTGAGCCAGAGCTGTAAAACTGCAGGCACGTCTAAGTTCCTCTTCAGAGCTTTATAAAGCAGCATCCATGTCAAACTAAGGCTGTTCAATTTTTGGTTGCTGCTCAGCAAATTTGGCCCTTTACTCAATTCCAAGCATTGTGTGCAGTCCTAGCAAAGCAGAAGGCAGCAGTTTTTTGAAAATCCAAAAAACACAGCTAGGGCTATTGCGTTACAGACCACCCTCCCTAACCACAGCACTCTGGAGGCTGTTGGAAGAATCATCGAGGTGCTAACACCAGAACAAAATCTGTGAGACTGAGGGGAAGGAAGAGAGGACTCCTGTGTGGACTGGTGTATTTTCTAGCTAGGACATCAATGCTAGAGAGCATGGAGCAAAACTGCAGTAGTGGCTGAAGCAGCCTGGGTTTGTTTTACAGAACGACTGGGACAGATCTGACAGTCATTACCCACACAGAGTGCTGATACGGCAACAGCTTCTAGGAGAAGCTTCTTAACCACCAAAAGGTAAAAGCTAGCTTGTGCCTTGAGATGTGAGGATACAACAACATACAGTGGCATGAAAAGTCTGGAATTAAGTATGCAGGTAGTATATGCACATATGTTTGGGACATCACAGCTGTACTTTAAGGTAGTTTGGTTCCTGATCTTTTAATCAGTGATGACAGTGTCATACATCAGGATGTGTTTGTTTTTTTTTTTTTTAAAGATTGGGTATCTGCATTGCCTAAAAATACATTAATCCTAGGAAGAGAGGGTTATCTAGGGAGAGTCATACCTTTTTCACCACACTGCAAAGTTTCTTTCCAAAGGTATGCTTCTGCCAATGAAAGCAGAAGTTGTACTGTATTTAATGCTGCTCATCAAACTGAAATATGACACTGTCAAAAATAGGGTTTATCACTAGGGTAAGTGAAATATTTTGGGGGGATTTCACTTATACGTGGGAATACAATAGTATGTGCTCTGAATAAAGTGAGAAATCTTGGAAGCTACCAAAAATCAGAAGTGCTCTTTTACCAATCTATTGCTTTTATTTTCTTGGCATGATGTTTCGTCCCTGTGGGTTAGTTCAATTGTCTGTCCCCTGCATCTCTATTACAAAACAATCTCCTAAGCGGGCAGAATTAACTGTAGACTAAACAAACTAACCTTGAACTGAAACGAGTTAGAGCCTCGGAGAATTGCTGCTCCTTGCAGCAGTTGGAGGAAGTGTTCCTTTATTCTGGTTAGGGGCAGTTTCTCCACTGGTTCGTTGGGCTTCTGGAAACCA